AAAAGATATTAAAAATATTTAAATGTTTTTAATTAATAAAAATCTTAAAAAAAATTAAATAACAATAACTAATTACGAATAATAAAAAATAGTTTAAAGATATTAACTATTAAATTGATTTTTTTAGATAGATTTTTTTTATTGTATTTAATTTAGTTATAATTTCCTGAAATTGTATTATTAGAATGCATGTAATAGCTTTAAAAATAATATGAATTTTAATTTTTTTCTTTGAATAAACAAATTTTCTTCTCTTTTTAACTATCTCTAAAGACTTTAATTGGTTGTAAACAGGAATACTAGACTTGTTAAACTTGTACAATAGCTCTAATATCTCTTTAGTCTTTGGTTTTTCTCATATTTGAAAAGTATGTAATACTAGTACAATTAATTGAAATAAAAAAAATATATATATAAGTGCCTTATATCTAAATAAAAAAAAATAATTTAATTTTAATTTTTTTTTTTTTGACAAACATTTAATGCGAGGTTTTTATTAAACTTTCGTTAATTGCAATTACATTAAGAATCTTTACAAAAGTATTCATTGTCTTTTAATTAATTATACTGTTTTGCAATTCTTTAATATTAAAAAGAATAAAAAAAATTGCATTTTTCATAATTCTTAAAATTCTTTACGATGGTTTATTTGGATTTTGAAAAAACTTAAAAAACAAGTGTTTGTAAATGTTGCTTTTGTTTGGTGTGAATATCAGTTTATTCTAAATACTTTATTTTATTTTATTTTTTTTATATTAAAAGCAATGGTATACAGTATGTGGTGATATGCCTTTATGTAGTCGTTTACGCGCGCTAACCAATTTTATCAAAAAATTTATTGTTTACCCAGTTAGATTGTATTACAATGTGATTTTTACGTACCACGTCACAACCAGAAGATAATCCGATTGCGAATTCGTAATAAATTTGTCTGGCTTCTTTTCATTCATTCATTTCATTCCATTTTTTTTTTTTGATTGAACGATAAGTAAAACTTTAAATAGCAGTCTACATAATGAATTCTGTTCCACAAGTAGACGAGCTTGTAAAAGAATACTTGTTAGTATGTATAACATTTAATTTCCTGTTTAGTCTCAATTCAAGATCAATTCTTTAACAGACAGCGTGTGCATGTGCGTCAATAAATACAGTTCAGGGGCTTTTCGGCCACTTTTCGCTCATTTGAACAAGAATGCAAAAATGACAAAAATAAGGGATTTCAGGTATGATTTTCATGAAAACTAGGTGTTTTTTTTTTCCGAGTGATTTGCGTGCTAACGTGGTTTAAAACATAGGCCGAAAGAATTATCGACGAATTATATTCCTATGTCGCAAATAGCGATATTAATGGTCTACTTGAATATTGGAAATATCTCGATCTGAGATATTTTTCTCGGTTAGATGTTAGATTTTTAGGCAGCGTTAAAAAATTTGAAACATCTCTTTTAAGGTATTACCTTGTGTACGGTATGTAGTATTTATGAACTTACCTCGGTCTTTATTGCATTATACTTATCTACATATTTACTTAATTACAGCGATACAACAAAAACGCAGAGACAAAGTATTATTGTTCTTTGATAGTTTCGGAACTGAGCTAAGTAAAAATGCGGAATGGTCTAAATGGTTTGGTAGGCTAATCAAAATTTAGTCTTATCGTTTTATCACGCGAAGTATTATTGATTTTGAATGAACATTATTTTTTTTTTTAGGCTTGCCATTTTCCAAGAATCCAGCGACTGACCCGAATTATGAAACGTTCTTTACTAAACAATGGCTGGATAAATTCACAGTGTCATTTCATAATTTCCTTAATTCGATATTTCAAAATATGCGTATCCTTTTTTTTATATAATTAGCGGTTTATTTTTTTGATTCATAAGGAATAAGTATGTGTTATTGAGAGCTATTATTTCAAATTCCTCCTTAACATTTATTGCTAATCCAAAATAGCGCATCCAAGCTTATTATGTTTTAACATTGATCGATATCACCGACACGCATTGCAGAGTGAAATAGATTCACTACAGGGAGTGATTGAAAATCTCAAATCTAATATTGAGAGCGCAGACCAGGAAATCGCGTCCTTACGGCAAAAGGTTTGTTTGATTTCTCGAAGTATATATTGAGATGATTTTTAATGGTGATAACTAATGCAAAATAATTATTGATTAGGTTCAATCGCGAGAAGCAGGAACCAATGTCAGGTCACGGAGACGTGCAAAATCATTATATGATTCAAAGGAGAAGGATGTGTAAGTCTCATGCATTGATTAAAAATCCCAGTATAAACTAGCGTAAACGAAGTAATTCATCTATAAAATTTTTTTAGGCAAGATATACTCCGTCCTATATCCAGTGAGTAATTGTTTCTGTCAATATCCTTACCAATGATAAAATGTTAATTAATATAACTTTGGTCATCTCAAAGATGGGAATCGTTCCTCTAATCTCTCACCTATGAAATCAACGCCGAATAACAAAGCCGAAACGAATTCTGAAAGTAATAACGGTTTAAAATCGCCAGAAGTTTTTTCCGATGATCGAAGTATGACACCAATATCAGAATATAATTCAGATGATACCCAAGAACTTCCCGGCGAGGATATAAATCCATTCACGATCCTCAGTCAGGTAAGACACTATTATAGGTATTTATATCCACAGTCACAATAATAATAATAATAATAATATTGCTGTGATAGGAAATATATCTCGAGCATGCATCCGGTATCTCATTAGCTAAATTCTCCCATGATGGAAATTTGATTGCAAGTTGTGATGTAGATAATATTGTTAGGTATGGAATAACTTTTATATTGCTTAGCCATTAAATTATACTTATACATGTTATAAATGATAGGATATGGAACTATACTGGTGCAAGTGCTGCTTGCAAGATAAAAAATGATCCGAGCTCAAATATACTGTGTTTGGAATGGGAAGCTAGGTCAGATAAGCTTGTAAGGTTTTTATAATTTTTTTTGGGGATATTAAATGTGTTTTTTAAAAATGATAGATTCTTACTTCATTTTTTTTTAAAAAAAAAGCTTCTGATGGGCACAGATGAGAGACAAGTTCGAGTGTATAATAGAGAGTTAAAATCAGTAGTTCACGAATTTCAGACGGAAGAAAGATTTCCCAGGTTTATATACATTGAACATACATTCCTAAAGTATAGGAAATTGGATTAACAAAATTTATCGTACATAACGATATTTTAGGGTTAAGCAAATTAGCTATTCTCCTGTGGAATCTTTGTTCGCGTGTTCTGGTTCACCAAAGGGTTCTTCTGATGATAGTGCAATTGGATCTTTAATGTTGTGGAACTTGAAAACGATGTCACTAAAGGTAGAAATAAATATTCTCTTTTTAATACATTTTCTAATATCTTGAACTATTTATAGAATTCATTCGTGCTTGATCATACAATATCGAAATCTGGACTTCCCGTTGTTCCTATAGAGACCATCAAATTTAATCACAATGGTCAGATGCTTGTTACAGGTGACAGAGCTGGGTGTATACGTATTTTCGGTATGTAAGAATTAGTACTCTGGTTTTTCATCAAACATAATCATATTTAAAAGTTTACCAATATATGTATTTACATGTATTACATCGATAGACATTCGTTCCTTGTTACCAATAATGGAGTGGAATCTTTCCAAATTGGGAGCGGGATCGAGTAAAAAAGGGAGTTATATAATATGCTCATCTCAATTTAGTTTTGATGAAAACTCAATTTATGTTGTTGATGAGGCTGGAAGCGTAAATATAGTTCAAAATATTTTTGCTTGACATTGAGATTATACATTTATAATAACCAATCATTTTATTTATAACTAGCTTACACAATGGTCTGTTCATAAACCAGGCCATATAATTACAGAATCCCAACTTGCCGGTTTCACATCAACATTCTCATCAACGCTAATCAATTTTACCCCTACACCAACTAAAACATTCCGTAAACGTACGCCATCAATGTCATCTGTCAAGTCTACAAAATCCAATCGCTCAACATCTTCAGTTCCAGCTATAATGATTGGAAATGAAACTACGCATTTGATGTCAACATCACGTGTTCCAATGGTGTCATTTAGTGGAGATACAGAGCATGTGGTCTGCGTTGGTGGTGATGGGGGGCATCGAGGAGTGATATATCAGGTGGGTAATTTAATTGTTTTATCGTTTTGGGACAATTTTGTGCCGAATAAAATTTTAAACTTTGCAATACGGGAACAGACATCTACTGGAAATCAAGTACAATTGTTAGCATCACACTCTCAGCCATTGACAGCAGTTGATTGGACTACAACCGTGGGAAATACGATATTAACGGCAGCTTCAGATGGAACCGTGAGGGTGACCAAGATGGTAACCACTACAAGTTCATAACCATATTTAAAATGGGACATTGTATAATTTATATATAAGGTGAAAGCATAAGATCATTTAAAGTTTATTTTATTGGTTAGTTTATGAGTCCGAAGGTGGAATTTTTATAATTTACAAAAAATAGTATTTATATAACACTTATTTACATGATACATTTATAGAAGGTTGATATTACTGACAGTTGTATTTATATATGCATTTTTAAGTTTTTATCATAGACATTTAGTTTAGTATATTTATCTAAGAAACAAATATTTTTTCTTTCTTTTTTGTTAAATCACGTTACGTTGTGATATTGTTTTTTATAATCGTTTACGACTAGTAGTTCATGAAATAAGCATCAATTTAATAAAATAGCAAATAAAACGAACGTATAAAATAAGTAAGTAAATGTTTGATATGTATTATTTTGGACGAGTTATGCAAGGGGTAAGAAAAATCCGACGCAGTGCAGCATCTACATCTTAGGCATCAAAAAATTGCTATTGATAATTGTGTTTTTGGTTTGAACTCGAAGGTGTTCAAATGCAACCACCTTGACATTGACTCGTTAAAAATTTTGCTTTAATGGAAGTGCAAATGCAAACCGCATTACCTTGTAAAAAGCACTTACAGTAAATGAAAGCAATTTATTATTTTTTTAATAGTTTCATGAAATGATAATTACAATGTACAATAAAATAAATAGCAAACCTCTAGTATAAAATTAATTACCATTAATTATGCAATATGACACACACGCCTTTAATTCATACATGATTAACGCACGCGATAAATACTGCGTATATACCGTATGTATTTTTATTTTTTCCCGTTTATCCATGTATATAGGTTTTTTTCGCATTTCTTTTAAGAAGGTTGCCTGATACCATTAGACCAAATTTGTCACGTATGTATATTCGAAAAGATCCCGCAGTCGGTTCATAAACGCAGCAAAGCAGATTGTATCATCGTGTAACGACAACTAGTGGTCATCCAGTTCCAGTGATACACGTATTAAATGATAAGCTTTTTCGCTCAAGATTTGGGGATTCGGATATTCAATCAGGAAGCATATTAAAACACATCGAACATGGACATGTCAAATACGGAAAAACCGATCGAGAAAAAGGGTCATAGTGATGATCGCATAATATTAAATATCGGTGGCGTGAAGGTAGTTTTAATTTTCAAAGTCTTTTGAGCGAAATGTATGAACAAGCGGAACTGGTATCAATTATAATGTATCTTTTTGGTGCTTCCTTCTTAAATGTTAGTACGAAACGTATCGATCAACTCTAACAGCTCATCAAGACACGCTTCTCGGTACAATGTTCCAGGAACGTAACCAAAATCTACTTCATCCTACCAATGAAAATGAATACTTTTTTGATCGAGATGGTATCATATTTCGTTATATCATGCAGTTCTACCGTACCGGAGAAATATTTTGGCCCGAGGATACAAATTACATCACAGATTCCACTCAGAACCTTCATATCTCTCGTCGAGAACTCGAACTCGAGTTTGATTTCTTTCAAATTCCGGTGCCGGGTCGCGGCGAAATAGATAAAACCGGAGCTGTGTCATTAGTGGATGGATTTCTAAATGCACTGGATTCGGTGGCAAATCACGTTATCAAGAAATACAATGCAACAATTCGTGTACAATTTAGATTAGGAATGTTGGAATATGAGGTGGATGAGGACATAGAATCGTTAGCGAAGGAGATATTAGATCCATTCAAGTTGGTGGGATATAAGATATTATCAAAATTCAGTAAAGAGATTGCTTCGTATTTGATGAAGAATCACAGTTGCTTAAATTCGAAAGTCGTGAGAAAACCTAATAAAGGTTACTATGAGATTAGGATGATGGTGAAAGAATTTGATGAATTTGATGAACAAACGGTATTTAAGTATTCTAAGCTGGCGAATGTTGTTGAGTCTGCGAAGGTGATGTATGATGACGAGGAAGATTAGTTGAAAGAGAATTCGGTGGAAATGATTTTTTATTTAAGGCAGATACCAAGTTTGTTACAGAATGAAATTTCTAGACTAATTCTTTAAGTTAATTATCAATTTTCGATGGCATTTTTAATTCGTGCAAAGAATTTTTATCGATTATTCAAAATTCTGTGAAATTACTTTTCTTTACGCTTCTTTGATCACCAACCTGGTAGCTTGAAAAACTGGGCCACCAGCTATATGAACCAACGTAAATTGTAGAATGAGGCGCGTACATGTATCCACAATTTGGAAATGTAAGTAAAAAAACAGAATGATGATAGATCATCCTTAAGCTATCGTATTGTTACACTAAGATGGTTCATCGTACGATACAATTATGATATACATTAATACTTTTGTCGCCTCATCATATGTGACTGTTCATTGTCTTCTCTAAACGCCATCATGCTCATACATCAAAAAGATGCCTCGTTAACCTTTAGGATATTATCATGCTGGTGTTATGTGAATGATTACAGATATTTCACGGGTACATTTTTCTAAGGGTTTCGAACGAAACCCAAAGGACTCTAAGATACATTCTTTGCCATAAGAAATAGGTCAAATTAGTGAGGGTGAAAATCGTGTTGGTATGGGAAATAATGTATAGTCTCGCCTTTAATGCTATATAATATAAATGAGGGTAAAAATAAAAAAAATATATAATTTTTTTTCTTAAAGGGAAGAAATATGTGAAGGGAATGCCTTTGGAAATTTTAAACTAAATTTTGAATCTCTCTAATAATGAATCAGGATGAATGGGATGAATGAAACCGTAGGAAATACATTTTTGAATCTTACACGAAGAAATACCTAAAATAAAATTTTTATTGCACCAATTTAAATACCCGCAATGAGAACACACGAGGAAAAGAAGTCAATTTTATGAAAGAAGACTATATTCGGTATCCTTGGTTGCCCTTTGACCGATCAGTAGAACGATCGAACTGTGATATAAGAAAGACATATTAGGTTAGTTGAACATTATTAGAATGGCATCATGCCATTAAATCGATAACACAATTACCTCATAAAAACGCAAACATTCTGAACCACCACAGCAACTCCGAAATAAAATAGTTCCATCCTTGCATCTGTCAGTATATATTTGATGGTAAACACGGTCTATGTGAAGATTGGGAAAAAGAATTAGATGGATGCAAAATGAATTCAGGAAAGGGCAGATTAAGACAGAAACGATACGCACCAACGAACAGAGTAGTCCTCCCGCCAACAATGTAGACCCTAAGAATAACATCAATCTGACTTTCCAGAATGTTTTCTTTGAGACCGAATAGGTGTAAATTTCATCTGAGAAAATGGTTTTATCAATCGAGCCGACACTTTAAAGAAACTGGAGTTAGCGAAGGGGCAAACCGCATGGCTACTTCTCACAATCACGACAAATATTAACGTACATTAACATTCCAATGGTTGTTATGATTCCAGAAATCCAATCCAAAACGGTGATATTATCAAATGGTGTGGTTTTGTTGATTGTCGTGTATACTATGGCGTCTACGAATGCCCACCACCCTATGGCAAACTAATATGATCAATCACGTTTTAAGATAAAAAGGATAATAATGATATATTATTTTTTTTTATTGTTTGCCCTCAGGATATTTTCTCAAAATATTAAGCGGCTATAAAGAGAATATAAATACCAAGGCTCCTGAGATGTAGATGGCGATATCTCTGGTGCGAGGGAATGAAGAACATATTCGATTCCTCTCAATTTCATTACGATTCCATCTTAAAGGTGATAACGTTGGTGGGCTGGTGGAAAACAATTGGCGAACCATCTTCTTGTTCAACTCTCAAAGTTCAAAGGATTCTTTTGGTCTATCCTTTCTTTAACTACCTCTTAACCTTTAGATTCTAACAGCGATAACGATGATGTATCTCGGAAGTGGGCTTAGATCCAGCTACGCGCGCAGTAAGTAAGTAAGTACGTACGTTATCGGTGAGCAAACACGCACGATGCGGTGAAAGTAAATAAAATACTTACGTACGTAAGACCAAAGCCTATACTCTTTATAATTAAATTTTGTGCTACGTTGACTTCCTTTTTCGTATCAGAATTTATACAATGATGATATGAACAACTGGCAAATAAAATTTGGGAATACGTATCGTAATCATATCTTCGTTTCGGTCAATTGGTGAATCTTTTTAGTTTATACTCAGTCGAGCGAATGCACTTACTTTACAGAAGGAAAAAATGATAACCCCAAATTTCTTTTTCGTGAAACACTAAACACGTATACTGTCAATCGCAAGAAGGATATAATAAAGTGAAAGGGTAGCAATGAATTTTTTATTTGCCGCTTACGTACGTATTTGCATACATATTTTGAACGAGTGGTTTTGATCACGTGCCCAATTTATAATTTATTCATATACAGTACGTTACATGTTTCGAGTGTTCACATTAGGGCTATGATTTTTTCCAAAATCAGTTTGCGTATACATGTAATTGTACGTGTGAACTAGTTTTACGTATACAATAAAAATCTTTATACAGAAATTCATTCTTGTGTACATGCATTTGTGCATGCCTGCAAGCTGGGAAAAATGATCCACCGACCATTTATGATTATTCTGATCATCACTTCATCGAAAATCTAGAATCAAAACCGATTTTCAAGGCTAATGTTAATATTTATTCACATGATTCCTCATAGTCTTGTCTTACACCCACGTGTGATAAACTAGCTAGGATTTTTTGTTTAAACTACGCATCGAAACGGCTAGAATTCCTGTGCGTTATGTCGAATGATCAGAATTAAATATGGTCATCATTTTGACAGATTATACATAAAATGAGATGATGTGAGATGGAAGGAGCACCAACAATGTCTCCCAAAATCGCTTTAATAACAGGGGCGAATAGGTACGAACCGCCATTTTAAGAGTTTTTTCTTTCCGAACACGTGACTTTTTCTAAGTGGGATCGTTTCATTCCCTTAGTGGCATAGGATTTACTATTGCACAAAGACTTCTAAATCATTCGACTGACGGCTTCCGAGTCGTGCTTTGCTGTCGTAATCGAAAAAAAGCCTCCGATGCACGAGATACTTTATTAAAGGAATTTCCGAGTGGGTTAATCGACATAATTATTGTGGATGTTGGTTCGGTCGACTCGGTGTTTAGGTCTTGTAAGGAAATTAAGAAAAAGTAGGCAACTTTTGAATTCAAGTGGCCCCGGATTTCATGTGTCGTACAAGTGGAATGCATTCATCTTTTTACTATCCTAATAGATATGACCGTATCGATCTGCTCTTCTGCAATGCAGGGATATTTCCTTGTGCGTATTTAGATTGGTGGACTGTTGCTCGACAGGCGATAACAGATCCTAAGGGCTTATTAATAGAATCCACTCCATTAATTCAACCCGTAGGAGCCACCACAAGCGAAGGCCTGGGCGAGACATTTGCGTGCAATGTGTTTGGACACTATATCATGGTTGGTAATCTCTCTTTCTACCGTGCTTGTAAACCAGATATACTTATATCAACCTCAATTTGGTAAAGATACGTCAATTGGAAGATGTACTGGCAAGCAGCGATCAATCCCGAATAATATGGACCAGTTCCCGCACAGCCAAAAGAGATGACTATAATCCTTCAGATTATCAATGTTTCAGAGGGTTGGTATAAGTGGTGTACAAGTTTAGACGTGTTCGTAAATCACGATTAATTCATGATTATTTTTTTTTTTCAGCCCAAGCCCATACGAGTCATCAAAGTATGTTACTGACGTGATTGCCATCGCTCTCAACTCTCGGTTAAATAAACGTAACATCCATAGCTTTACAACACATCCCGGTGTTGTTGCCACCAATATCGTTTACGATCATCTCGGCTGGGCAATGGACAAAACAATGAAGGCTGTACTTTATACGGTAATTCCATTTAACATTAGCATTCATATATAGTGAAATCGTCTGTTATATAAAATGTTCAATGAATTCCAGGGGAGATCTCTTGGAATAAAAGAAGCAACAATTACCGGATGGAATGGATCTTATGCAAATTATGTTGTGGCAACCGAACCTATCGAGAATCTCAACAAATTTTGCAAGTATGGTAGCTACGCCAAACCGTGGGGATCAATCTATTGTCTTGAAGAAGCGATTATTTGTTATGATGAAAAAGAGGCAAATGATTTGTTAAGAAAGTTGGATGATTTGTTGAATGAATTCAGAAAGAAAAATAAATACGGAGTTTGATGTTGACTCCGTCGATGCAAGATTTTAAGGTATTAGTCTTTGTTAAGAAATTTCTTGTATTACATTAATATTTAGACAAAGAATTTTTTTTCGTTTTCATTGTAGAAAATCTTTATCAAACCTCTGATTCTCGTGTTGCTCTTGCATTAAAACCTCCTTTTTTTTTTTTTAGAAGGACCCTTGAAAGACTTGTTTGAATGCATTATCAAAGAGACCAAAAAAATCCTCAAGTGTTATATAACTTGAAATATCAAGTATAGAATGTATGCGCTGCAGATATGTAGTAGCTTTTAAGCTTACTAAGGCAATTTCTATGATCAAAAGTTTTCCTAACCAAGTACTGTAATCAACTGGCGTGTTGCATAGTCAGATCATGTCGAATATTTTCGTGCCTTAATACTCTTGAGACGTAATTTCTATTGTTCTTTTTTTTGCATTGCATTACAGAATATTTTATAATAATGAGGTAATGCGCATCCTGTTAATATTTTGTCACTTCTTATTTCTTAATGTTATAAATGCTGTTAAAAAAATATTTGAATTACGTAAATCAAATTTTTGTTTATCTAACAACAACAACAATAATAATAATAATAATAATAATAATTAGATTATTAAAAAGGAATTTTTTTTTTTTAAAAAAAAAAGATATTACAGAGGATATTGAAACGATTACTATTTTTATATACTATGCTTAAAATCTTTTTTTTTTTAATGTTTCATGCATTAATTAAATTTCAAATCGATTTTTTTGGCTAAATATTTCACAAAACCAAATACTGTATATCTTATTTAAGTTATAAAAAAAAATTTTTTTTTATCAACTCATTTTTCACAACATACTGTACAAATTTTATTTAAATAAATAAATGTATATAATAAAATCAATTATATAAAAAATTAGAATTTTGTCAATAATATTATTTTTATAAAATTTCAATATGATTATTTATGTAACACAAAATTAGTTTTTCTAAAAAAGTAAATAATTTGTTTAAAAATTATATCATTTAAATTATATGAGTGCTATTTATTTTTTATATTATATGATTGTACTATATTATAATTATATTATAGTTATATGATTGCATTGTAATAAATTTCAATAAAATGTTATGATAACAATTTAGTTTTTATATTAAGGTAAAATGATTTTTTAAATTAAATTGGTTGATTTAATTTATATTCAAATTAATTATTTTTAATATTAAACAACAATAAATTAGCTTTTAGTAATAAAACTTATTATTTATCACTTATGTAATACTTTTTATTTTAAAACATATACATTATAAGTTTTTTTTTTTAAAAAAATATTTTTAATAATTAATTAACAAATTAAAAGATAAAAAAATTATTTTCTATTTTAAAAACATAAATAATTTTCTATTTATATATCGTATATTATTAATTGATTTTTAAATTTGGTATTCTATAGAACTAGATGTTTTAATTATATTGTTTGTTAATTACTGATTATAAAAATTGATTACTGTAAATGTTAAAATCGTAATTGAAAAATTCACTAAAAATTATGAAATATAAAGATTTTGTTCGATATATTGTATTAACTGAACTGCGAAAAAAATGAATTTATAAAATCGGGTTTTTAATAAAATTACAGTACTGTATACAGCATCATATTTTGTGTCCGTGTAATGTCATGCAATGCACATAATATTCTAGTAGGAAGCGTCTAGTTTAAAGATATTAAATATGCTTTGTTCCGAATGCGATAAAAAAAGTAAGAGAGGGAGCCAGTGCCGTTCATATAAAGTCCACTTTCAACAAAATTTTGATAAATGGACAAGTGGAAATAATAAAATTGACGAATTTATACAAAAGTCTCAGCTTCAAGCTGAGTATTCTAACCAGGAATTAGAATGGATACCGTATACACAATTTCAAGATGTCAAATATATCGCTAAAGGAGGATATGGTACTGTGTATTCTGCGACATGGGAAGATGGTAAAATTTGGAATTGGGATGTTCTCAATAAGGAATGGCATAGATCATACCGTAATATAAAAGTAGCATTAAAAAGATTGGAGAAGCTTAGCTCAGTCGACGATCTTATAAATGAGGTAAGGATTAAACCTCGTTTAACTCTAGTTTTATTATTAATATAATTTATTTTAAATTTTAGATTGAGAAACATTCTATTTTGTGGACTTCCTGGTTTATTATTAATTGTTACGGAATTACACAACAGCCAGAGTCATTGTGCTATATGATGGTTTTTGATTTTCAAGAAAATGGCAGTCTTAGGCATTACATGGATAATAATTTTTACAACATGGATTGGAAATTAAAATTTAATTCTTTGTATCGTATTGCAGATGGTTTACAAGATATGCACTCGAAGAAATTAGTTCATAGAGACTTTCACCCTGGAAATCTTTTATATAGCAGTGGTTTGTTTTTGAATATCACGGATCTAGGTCTTTGTAAATTTTTTAAAGAAAACTCAACACGTCAAGAAATTTATGGAGTTCTTCCATACATTGCACCCGAAGTCTTGTGTGGTCATGCTTACACACCGGCAGCAGATATTTATTCATTTGGAATGGTAGCATATGAAATGATCACAGGATTTCCTCCATACTATGATATTCCTCATGATCAAGATCTTGCTGTACAAATCTGTCAAGGCTTACGTCCAAAAATTCCAGGAAAGACGATTAAATTTTTAGTTAGATTAATAATGCAATGTTGGGATGCGAGGCCATCGAAGCGACCAGATGCTAGAGAAATAAGCGACACTTTATACAAATGGATTTATGGTGATGAACAAGTTAAATATTACGAAAGTGAAGCTTCGAAAGAATCACTTAGTAAATCATCGGGACTTAATTACAAAACACACCCAAATGCTATCTATACTAGCAGACTTTTAAATTTTTCTAACTTATCACAACCAACCAATGCCCCAAATTATGAGAAAGTACTTGAAATGTTGTCAGATGACTATGCAGGTGAATATCTTGTAGATAGTATAACGTTCGTTACATTTCTAAATTTTTATTAACAAATTTTACTTTAAAACTTTTTAGACTCAAGCTTACATCGACTTAGATTATTATAATTTTTAGGTAACAAAAATGTTTATTTCTCCATTCACCGTTCGATTGAACTTTAACCGTTTCATAGTTTATACAAATGATAAATTTTGAAGGATTTTATAAGCGATACTAATCGTGTTTTCTTACTTTTCATGGTTATTTAACAATGGTCTATTATTCTGTGGTAATTAATTTTCCTGGTTTAGTATTAATATAAAAAAATTTTCTATTTAATTGGTAAGCACATAAATGCTATTTGTTAGACCAATTATCATTATAATTCTTCGTCCAATAATTACTAGAATAGTACTTGAGAATTATATAAAGATTGGAGACGCGCTATCATTCGATGGCGAATATTTAGTCAATATAAATGTTATACTGTATGTTTGATAAAATAAACATTTTGTCTTTACTTCTTCTGTCAACAATTTTTCATTAACAATTCTTTTCACTAAACATTTTCTGCATGTTATCTTTTCAGTAATCATTCCTTCGAATGATTTTTTTTTAATTATTAAAAATAAGTAATACTATAAATAAAATTTAAATAAAGTATTATTTTATTTTTATTTTTTTTATGATGGATGGTTTACATCTCATCTTGTTTATTGAATATTGTGTTGAACATATACAAATTTGTAGATACAAATTTAAAATTTTATCTATTTTCTAAACTAACATTTTTTATTTTTATATTTGATAATTTTTTTTAAACTATATGTATTTTTCTTTTTTCTTTTTTTTTTTTTTACTGCAAATAAGCATAAAATGCGAGACTTTATTTACTAAATGATAGTACTGTCATTATATTAAGAATCCTACACCACCTCATTCGGTGGGAGTTAATCCTAGCCTATTGCATGTATAACTTTTAATGCTACATTA